TGTTTGCAGGAAACATGTGACTAGGCTCCATAGGAAAGTGTTAATTAACAAAAGACTAGGCCAAGAATTTATCTCATCAGACAAAGTTAAGAAAAGAGGCGTAGTGATCTATGCAAAGGAGAACCTGTCACCGAAGTTTCTATTTAAAGATGAACAAGGAAGGATTTTGGCAATTGAGATACAAACACAAGGAGAAAAATTTCTAATAGTTGGAATTTATGCACCAAACGAGGGGAAATCGGAATTTTATAGGAAGCTGCATGAGACAATGCTGGATTATCTGGACTATACCAACATCATTATGATGGGAGATATGAATGGGGTGGTCTCTACCTATATGGATAAGTCACAGAACCAAAATTTGACCAAGGATGGTAGACTACCTAAGACTTTTTTTGAACTAACTGACAGTATGGATTTGATTGACATTTGGAGGACAAAGAACCCCTTAGGTAAAGAAGGAACTTTCTTTTCTGAGGCCCACCTGTCATGGACACGAATTGACCAAATATGGACAACTAGAGGGCTGGCTCCTAAGACTAGAAAAGTGGAAATCTGCCCAAAAACCTGCTCCAACCATAACGCCTTGAAAGTGGAATTGAGACTTACTCCAACCGGTTCCTTCAGATGGAAAATGAATGACGCCCTACTAAGAGATCAGGAGATTGTAAAGAAGGCCCAAAAAAACTTAAAAGACTACTTTGAAATTAACCTGAATACTTCGGTGGAGAAAAGAACAATCTGGGACGCAAGCAAAGCAGTAATGAGAGGGTTTCTGATACAACAGAATACGATCAAGAAAAAACTCTGGAATGGAAAAAAGGATAAGATATTAGAGAAGATAAGAGATGGCGAGAAAAAATTGAGACTGAAACCAAAATCTAAAGAGATCCTAAGAGAAATTAAGTTCCATCAAGCACAGTATGCGAAATTGATAAATCAAGAAGTGGAATGGAAAATTAAACAAATGAAACAAAGATCATTTGAATCGGCGAATAAATGTGGAAAACTGCTAGCATGGCAGTTGAAAAAAAGACAAAAATTGAACTTTGTTACCAATCTAGAGGTAGAAGGGAGAAATATCCAGAAACCAGATGAAATTAGAAAGTGCTTCCAGAGATACTTCAAAAAACTTTATACGCAAGGGCCTCAGAAAGAGACTGAGATAGACCAATTTATAAAAGTCAGTGGATTACCAAAACTATCCCAGGAGAGGACAACAATTTTGAACTACAGAATAACACAACAGGAAATTGAGGGCGCCATACAGAATATGCAACCGGGCAAATCCCCAGGCCCTGATGGACTTACCTCCAAATATTATAAGACATTAAAAGACTACTTGATACAACCACTAATGGAGGTTTGTAACCAGATTATGGAGGGGAAGAAGGCACCGGAAACGTGGAAAGAAGCTTTCATCACATTGATACCTAAACTGGAGACTGAAAAGACTCAACTTAAGAACTACCGTCCCATCTCACTCCTAAATGTGGATTACAAAATTTTCGTAGACATTTTGGCAAGTAGACTTAAGAAAGTACTTAATGAAGTGATTCACAAAGACCAGGCTGGCTTTCTCCCAGGTAGACATATGTTTGATAACACTAGGAACATTATTGATATTTTGGAACTTTTACAAATATCAATACGAGAGCCGTGTTAATCTTTATTGATGCGGAGAAGGCCTTTGATAACATTTCCTGGATGTTCATGAAGAAAAACCTGGAAGGGATGGGAGTGGGACGGGGGTTTGAAAATGGAATAGAAGCAATTTATTCAGAGCAAAAAGCTAAATTGATAGTGAACAATGTGGTGACTGAAGAGTTCAAAATTGAAAAAGGGACACGACAGGGGTGCCCCTTATCCCCTCTTTTATTTATTTCAGTCCTGGAGGTGCTCCTGAACATGATTAGGGAGGACCGGTTGGTGCAAAGAATACAGGTCGGAGTGAAACAATATAAGTTGAAAGCCTTTGCAGATGATTTGGTGTTAACACTACAGGAGCCAGAATCTAGTACAAAAAGAGTTCTAGAACTGATACAAGAGTTTGGTCGGGTGGCGGGATTTAAACTGAATAAGCAAAAAACCAAGGTTTTGGCAAAAAACCTGTCATTATTGGAAACAGAGGGGTTTCAGAGGGAGACAGAATTAAGTGTGGTTAAAAGAGTGAAATACCTAGGGGTTCACTTGTCTGCTAAAAATTTGAATTTATTTAAAGACAATTATGAAAAATGCTGGACGGAAATTAAAAAAGATTTAGAAATTTGGTCAAGATTGAAACTTTCCTTGTTGGGTAGAATTGCAGCTATAAAAATGAATGTATTGCCGAAAATGTTATTTTTGTTCCAAACCCTACAGATTGTGGACAGAGTGGAATGCTTTGGAAAGTGGCAGAAGGATATCTCTAAGTTTGTCTGGCAGGGCAAAAAGCCCCGAATAAAGTTTAAAATACTAACTGACTCAAAAGAAAGAGGGGGGTTTGCCCTGCCAGATTTAAGGTTGTATTATGAAGCTGCAGCTTTCTGCTGGATGAAAGATTGGTTACTTCTTGAGAACGCTGATGTTCTAGATCTGGAAGGGTTTGATAACGCTTTTGGTTGGCATGCATATCTGTGGTACAACAAGGTAAAGGCTCATAAAATGTTTAAAAATCATATTGTCAGAAAAGCAATATTTATGGTCTGGACAAAATACAAGGACTTGCTAGAAGGTAAGACCCCGAGGTGGCTATCACCAGCAGAGGCCAAGGCCTGGAAAAAACCTAATATGGAGGTCGGCTGGCCGAAATATGGGGAAATTCTAGAAAAAGTTGGAGAAAATTGGAGGTTGCAGAGCTATGAAAAATTAAAAAATAAGGTGCAAAATTGGTTCCATTATGCCCAAATACAAGAGGTTTTTAAGTGGGATAAAAAAGTAGGCTTCCAGGTGGAAAAATCGAAATTAGAAACGGAATTGTTAGAACCAAAGACTAAAGTACTTTCGAGAATGTATAACTTGCTGCTTAAATGGAACACTCATGACGAGAACAGTCAAATCAGCAATGATAAAATGGGCTCAGGACATTGGGTATAACATTATGTTTGAAGACTGGGAAAGGTTATGGACCACTGGTATGAAATTCACGGCATGTAATGCCTTGAAGGAGAATATTATGAAAATGATATACAGGTGGTACATGACCCCAGTCAAACTTGCTAAGATATATCATCTGTCTGATAATAAATGTTGGAAATGTAAGGAGGCTGAAGGGACATTCTTTCACCTCTGGTGGACCTGCCCAAAAGTGAAGGTCTTTTGGGAAATGATTCATAATGAGCTAAAAAAGGTGCTTAAATACACCTTTCCTAAGAAACCAGAGGCCTTTCTCCTGGGCATTGACGGCCAGAAGGTGTTAAAGAACGACAGAACCTTTTATATGTATGCAACAACAGCAGCAAGAATACTAATTGCAAAATATTAGAAGACACAAGATTTGCCCACACTGGAAGAGTGGCAGACGCAATTGATGGACTACATGGAATTGGCCGAAATGACTGGCAGAATCCGAGACTTGGGAGAAGAAACAATTGAAGAGGATTGGAAAAAATTTAAAGACTATCTACAAAAATATTTTAAGTTATATGAATGTTAAGAGTTTGCATGACTCAGAAAATTTAGAGCCAGTGTGGTGTAGTGGTTAAGAGCGGTAGTCACATAATCTGGGGAACCGGGTTCGCGTCTCCGCTCCTCCACCTGCAGCTGCTGGGTGACCTTGGGCCAGTCACACTTCTTTGAAGTCTCTCAGCCCCACTCACCTCACAGAGTGCTTGTTGTGGGGGAGGAAGGGAAAGGAGAATGTGAGCCGCTTTGAGACTCCTTAAAGGGAGTGAAAGGCGGGATATCAAATCCAAACTCTTCTTCTTCTTCTTCTTCTATTGTAAAGAATGCAGGGTGAGGGAGATGTGGGGAAGTCCAGTTGGTTGTGAGAAAAATATCTTGGAAAAATTGTTTCTTTTTTCTTCTGTTATCTTTTTTCTTCTTTTTTTTCTTTTCTTTATAACTTGTATCTGGAAAAACCAATAAAATATTGTTTAAAAAAAAGAAGAAGAAGAATGGATAGGTTTGATCTTCTTGCAGTCCATGGGACTCTCAAGAGTCTCCTCCAGCACCATCTACATTACTCCATCAAAAAAGGAATCAGGTCTTCATAAAGAATCATTAGCAAAGCATCATCAGCATCATCCATATGGGACAGACATTTACACCCAGGCTCTGTTGTTTGCCTCCTCCAAGAAAGTGCATCCTGACTGTACTAAACTGTGGTAAGGCTCTATCCCGTCCACCTGCTTCCTGAAAATAGTGAGCTCATGAAACTCAATAACTTACTTTTCCATTCACCAGATGTGTGTTTTTCAGCAACTGTGCCTAGTACCTACTTTTTGCCTTAGGCACAAGTTCAGAGATGTGATGGGGTGGGGGAGAGGGAAAGATGTTACCTTCATGCCCTGCTGGTCACTACTGGAAACAGTTGGAAGCAGAGTACTGGATTTGGTGGTCCTTTGGTCTGATGCACAAGTTTCCTCACATAGTGAATTCAGTTGCAACTGAAAACTAGATGCAATCAGACACATATATTAGCTCTGCCACCACCCTAAAGTTGCAGCTGCTACTACCCTTGCCACCCAGGTGCCCTTCAGCAGTCAGGCTGTTTCTTGCTTAAATCTGTACTTCCCCGTCACCATTTTTGCAAATAATATGTCTGGTTTCCATGAGTCTCCCCACTTTGCCTGGCTGTTCACAACTCATTCCCCGCTGGGTGTGTGTCTCAGAGCCAGCATGTTTGCTACACACTTGTTCCTATGCTGAGTTTTCCATGCTCCCTTGAACCTGTCTCTGCAGCCAAGGCGGGAGCTCCCAAGTCAAGCGCCATCCCAGGTTCCTCCTCTCTCCCCCCCCCTCAGGGAAGAGCATCACTTTCTGCTTCATTTCCTAGAAAGAGAACAGGACTCTTTTTATTCTTTTTTCTGTGTGCAAAAGTTGCTGTGACATTCATTACTGTGCCGGCTGGAACACGGCAAAGATGAAGTGGAAGCAAGTGCTTTTCCGTTCCTGCCTCATGGCTTTAGTGCTTCTGATTGGTATGTATGATTTGCAATAATAACTACAAGGAAAGGTTGAATTTCAGCAAGGAATAATAGGGCAACAAATGGCAGTATTTGTCGGTTTAATGGGATGAGAGAGACTGTAGTTTTCCCATCAAATCACCAAATGCTAAAAGATATTCAGTTTCTAGCTACTACACCAGCAATACTGCTTTTAAGCTATGTCCAGGATATAGACTAAACCTTAGTGCATTTGCTATCCAAGGCATGTTAAGAAGAACAATTATCTTTCCCATGTTATAATATAGCAGGTAACAGTTTTAAAAAATCATCTGTGATTTTCTCCAAGATTCTGTACTTACTCTCACTAAATCCAAAACTGGGTTTATACTTCACCTTCTCTAGTTCTTGAAGAAGGTGATGCCGTGGCTGTGGAATCCAAGAAAGCAGCAGCTGGAGAACTCAGCAAGGAAAGTAAGTGGGGAGATTCAATTTTATTAATTAACTGGCTTTGGAAAGGGATAAGACAATATAAACAAGACACATATTTACTTTAAACATTTTTGAAAATGAATAACCCCCACCCATTTCTCACCAGTGGTCAGGCTCCCTTATTTTTCTACTTCCAGGTGTTAAAAAGAGAGTCTTCATGAAGGAATCAGATGCCTCTAACTTTTTCAAGAAAAGAGGCAAAAGATCTACCAAGTCCAGAGACGAGCTCAATGGTGAGACTGTTTGGAAGCTGTTTACGGAAAGCTGTGATTTATTTAATGTTCCTTTAATCTCTTGTTTTTTGGGCACATTCCTAAATTGTCTGCCACGCTGTGAAATATTTATTAACTGATCAGTGAAGATTAGAACAGGCTCCTTACTCTTCTGATTTTCATATCGAAACACACATGTATGCAGTGGTCACCACTATCCATTTATCTGATTGAATACGACTACTCTAGAGTAATAGGCAGTGGGATGTCAAAGACTGGCACATGGGTGCGGAGGAGTGATAGTAGAAGGCAGCAGGAAGAAAAAATAAAGTTTGCTTGTGTAAGTCAGTACTTGAAAAACTCTTTGTAGCTGGGGTTTTCATTTAATTTCTTAATACGCATATTTATTGGCTGCATTTCTAAATTAGCTAAGTTGTTGCTTTGGAAACTGAAATGTATTTGAAAGTATGAGATGTTTCTTAATTAGTTTAAACCACATGGTGTTCCATTAGGGGGGCAGAGTGGGAGGTGCAGGGCATCCTGGTGAACTCAAGATACCTGAGTGCAATGCAGAGACCTGCTCTGTCTCCTTCTGCAGTTTAGGGAAGAAGCTGAACAAGCACAGGCTTGGCCACATTCAGACGTTATTTAGCTGTTAATCCTCTTTGCCCTCATTGGAATTAGACCAGAGTGGTCCACAGATAAAAGTATTTGAATTTGTATTTGTATATGGGGAGCAACTTTGGCCTTTTTGTGTTTGCCCCTGCCTTTTAATCTGTTGCCTTCTAATCTGTTACGCCAGTTGAGTACTGACAGGGTGTGCGCAGACAGCTTTGTGCGTCCCTTGCATTCTTAAGAAAAAATCTGACCCAAGTCGTATGCAAAACCATGCAGCCAGGCACCAGGCAATTGAAAATTTGCTTGTGCACTTTACTGGTTCTGCAAAAATGTGCAGAACCAATATGTCTATAACTAGACTCCATCATTCAGGAGTGTGCAGGAAATAGTTACACGCACATTCAGAAGTAGTAGGTGTGGAAAGGGGAGTGACAGGAAATGATGACTGATCTACCCACTCAGGAATACAGAACAAACCATCTGCAAACATGAGTGGAGTGGTTTGGAGCCCAGTTCACCCCAATTTACTAGATTATCTCTGTTTTGGGAAAACCTGATTTTACAGAGGGGGAAAAGCACTGAGAAGATTGGTGCTGTTTGATAGTCATGTGGACTATGCAAAGTAAATGGGAAGACAGCTGCAAGCACACCGGAAACTCTGGGGTGGGCAGGCCCTGCAAGACCAGCTTCAGCCCCCCTTGGTAGAACCCTAAACAGCATTCATAGAAATGCACACCTGACTTCATTTAAAGTAATTATTTAAAAAGTAGTGTCAGTGATTGATCTTGCCTTCTAGCAACCAGGGCTGGCTCAGACTCTTTTGTCACCCCTGGGCAGGCAACATTTTGCATCCCTGACTCCTGCAGTTTTTTCATTAGCTTAATAACACAAAGGGAGTTGTGTGCAGCACTTTCCCAGGGCTAGCAGGCAAAAACATGCCTGGAGCGCTTGGGGCAAGCAGCCAGACTTGCACACAAAGGATGGAGTTGGCACACACTCTGAGACACACGCAGGCTGGACGGCCCCTCCTGCATTTCATTTTCTCGCCACTCCCAGGACATTTAACAGCTGGAAGTGACCACCAAACATGACCCCTCTCAACATAGAACTTGACTGAGACAGTAATAAAGACAATACTATCTCTTTCCTTGTGCATCACATTGATGGAGCACTTAAAATGCAGGAAACAAAAGCCAAATGTGGTTGATCCAATGTGCCTTTCCAAAGTCAGAATTCCTTTACTGGCATCCCTCTGTCACTGCTTGCTACCCTCAACCAGTGGCGTAGCGTGGGTTGTCAGCACCCGGGGCAAGGCAAGTAATTTGCGCCCCCTAACCCGTGGATTTGCGCCCCCTAACCCGTGGATTTGCCCTAACCCCAGATGTTGCGCCCGGTGCGGCCGGCCCCCCCTGCACCCCCCACGCTACGCCACTGCCCTCAACTCAACAACCCATAATACTTAAACTGAACAACAAAAAATACACAGGATCCTTGCTTCTTGGCACCCATCAAGAGTTAATGGAACGTGCCTCCAGGGCCAAAACCAAACTGCTGGAGAATCACAGCACCCTCTGTGGCTGCAGAGGCAGATAGCTTGTACCTGCTGCCTCCCACATTCATTTTGCTGCATTTGCAACACCCAAGTGACCTTTCTGGGGCGCAAGCCTGGGCTGTGTGTATGGAGGTCCTGGGCTGCCCAGTCGACAAAACCCCCTTTCAGCCTCTCTGATGGGGTCCAAAGGAAAAGAGGAAAAAAGTATTCTGGCACCAGCTGGGCTGCAGGAGTTGCTGGAAGGAGGCACACCAGGCGCCATCCAGCCGTCTTACACAGGATCCCTGAAACAGTGTTAGTTCTCCTTTTGAAGAGCAGCTGAGTGGTGCTACTTTTCTACACATGGGGTGTTTTCTGTGGGGCAGCAGGCAGCCAAATAAACAAAGACCTTAGAATATCGAACAGCAGTGAACTTTTCTGTTGTTAATTGCACTTTCTGTTAATGATCAGCTGGGGAGATGAAGGGCATGGGTAGATTTCCTCAAGTGCAGGTATTCCAAACTCACAGAATCACCATCAGAGCCACCAAAAGGCCACCCACCTGACTCAGAGTGGAACCACTCACACCCCGCACTCAGATTACCCCCCCCCCCCACAGCCCAGAGCAAATTATGTTGATAACAGAGCACAAGGGTACAGAAGATTTTGCAAACCAAGAACCTCATGAGGATGAAAGTGAATAATGCAAACTAGCTGCTTGCTGCAAGCAAAATAAGGTGACTAATTTTGAGGCTACAAAACATCACCAGTTTGGATTCTTTTTGCCTATTTAGTCTAAAAAACACGTTAATTCTTGCTACTTCAAGGGGTGGGCTTTTGCACTCCTTTTTAGCTGGATTAACTCTTAAATCGTTGGGGTTAATCCAATAATTGGATAGCATTAATAAATGTTATTTTTCTGTTTTAAAATAGAAAAGCATTTCGAGACTTGCAGGTGGCATGTGAGCTGCAGGCTTTCCATTCTTGCTCTATAGTTAAGCACTCGAAGGCTTACAGTCAAGGGAGATTTATAGGACATTTATATTGAAGTGGCTCGGTGCAACAAGAGCAAAGCATCCCTCAGTCCCTTTTCAGACCTGCTGGCTAATACTCTGCCCATCTTCCAATACAGCCGAGACCCGCCAGATGCTGGCTGCTGACGAACAAAGGAGGGAATACTATGAGGAGCAGAGGAACGAGTTTGAGAACTTTGTTGAGGAAGAGCGTGATGGTAAGACCTCAGGGTTTAGCCACAGAAGCAAAAGGGGTGTCATGTGTTTTCCATGCTTTGGGTGCACACTTGATCACTGCAAGCGCCACACGCCACAATGTAGAAAAATGCATGTGCTGATATCCTCGCAATCTGCGGGGGACAATGGAGAACAGCAAGGTTTGGGGAAGTGCCACTGTACCCTTTAAAGCAGAGGTGATGAACCTCTGGCCAAGTCTGGATGGCTGCAGTTGAACCACCTGTGCCCTAAATAAAAACCTCATGGAGTCTTCCTTAGCTTGTGAATTCTGGCTTGCAGTGACGACAGAAGGTTTCTTGAGAAATGCAAGTGATGTTAAGAAAGAGAACTTTCTTTGCTTTCAGGATACTGTTGCAAAAGTCTCAATTTCATGAGATCCTATCTGTAGTTTTGAAGAGAATTGTTCTTAACATGTGAGTTACTTAATACCGCTAGGACACACACAACAAACTCCTTCTTGTCTCAGGTTGCCAATTGTTCTGATTTTGTGAGCGTCGTTCAGCAGAGGACAATCATGTATTGAATATTTTTTTAAAAAGCAAACCCTGAAAGCATATTCAGAGGGAGGCAGAAACAGTTTGGGAAACGTGTACTAAATATGGAAATGAACTTTCTAAACTATGGCACACGCTGCTCAAGAGCCGTTGGGTCCCCGGATCTTGTGCAGAGGCTGGTAGCCACTTTGTCAGCCAGGCAGGTGTGGCAGTTCTGATCCAATTCCCTTTCAAAACAAGTATTTGGATGGAATTTTCCAATACTGTCATCTGAATGTAGCCTTTTTTCAGGCCCCATAACAAAATGCTTTGCATTTCCTGCCCCAGTCTAGCACAAGCCCTCCAACATTCCCCTGATGAAAATAAAGGACATTCTATTCTACATCAGTACAACTGCTAGTTAGTTGGATTTATTGATTTGGGGTTTCCTTTTCACCCTCAGGCTTCCCTGAGATTTCTGTGCTTAAAATACTGCAGTCTTGTGTGTTTCCTCTAATAACTTTTGTACTTGACCAGGAGAAAATGCTCAGGCAGTGGTTCTGATGTAGAATAGAATGTCCCTATTTTCATCTGAGAAACGTTGGAGGGTATGATAAAAATCATGCTATCAGTTCCATCTTGGTTGGTGCTCAGCACTGACTGAAGGCCTCACAGTTGTTTTTAAATGCATAGGAAACCTAGTGGGAAAGCAAAACCCCCAAACGTGAGGTACTCAGCAAGCCAGAGATGTCTGTGTAGCTAAAACAAATCCTGGTGAAATCCCCAACGCACCATCTAGTTCCACCTTTTGAGATGGGTTTGAGGATGTGGACAGGACACAGCTTAACCACAGTCCTCTTGACCGGAGTTTTGTTGTGAGAGGGGATCCCCACTTCTTTGAAGGAGGCAAGCCCTCTCTGAGCCCAGGGGGGTATTAGATAACTAGCTCTCAATTGGGGACGGACGGACAGTAAGTTGATTGAGAGGGTGGTGGGTGGACAACTGCCACTTGGATGAAGCTGAGTAGCCAGATACATTTAAGCTTCTCATTAAAATGCGAGAATTAAATTCAGCCGACTCACTCTTTTTAACACAAGTCCAACATATCATTCCCAAGGGTGATTTTTGGCTGACTTCCTTTAAACGACCCCGTCCCATTATCTGCTTTGGAAACTTCCCTCCGTTTCAAAAGTACGGTAATATGTTGTGCAGCATGTTGAGGAACTTAGTCCAAACCTTTTTCATTGCAAAGAACTAAGCAGGGCTGTGTGGTTTTTTGGATTCTGATTTAATTTACTGTAGTAAGAGTTCCTCAAGAAATACAAGTTACATCATGGTTTCTGGCATAACACGGAGGGGCTTCAGAAACCCCGAAGAGAGTAAAAAAATCAGCCTGAATTGTTGCCTTGTGCTTTGCTTGCTCCTCAGCCACAAATGAAAGTACTTCTTCCTATACATATTTTTTCCTACCTAGTAAATCATGTTGCTTTTAACCATACCACCACATCACTTCCTACGATTTCCACATTCGGCAGGGAATGCAAATATGGGAGGAAGTTTTCCATCAAATTTTGTTCTCTGGAATTCCAAGCGCAGCCCCAGCTGAATGCTGCTCTTTGCACCAAGCGCGTCTGCCTGGTGTGTCAATACATCCAGATATTTTTCCAGAGCTGCCCTTTCCCTGTAATGGGGGATACTCTTGACATGTGCTGATACTGCCAGGTTTCTAGATATTCTGAAGCTGGAAAAGGGGAGATTCACCTTACCCTCAGTTTTTACTTCTTAAATGGCACATTCCTATGCTTGTCTCCTCAGATGTAAGCTCCACTTAGTTCAGTAGGGCAGGAATTGGATATGCAAAGCTTAGAACATGAAAGCATGTACATCAAATTATAATGTCTGCTGTCCTTATTGAAAAGGATAGTTTTAACTTGGTATACAATAGTTATCAATCAATCAAAATGTTTATTCGGCTTTATGCCCATCATGAAACACAACACAACAAAACAAATCAAAACAAAACAAATCAAATAAAACAGCGGACTCGTACAAACCACAAGTAGTATAACACAGTTCACAACTCACAAGGACAGATATTAGCCATTCATAAGAAAAGTTTAAGATTAAGATTAAAAATTTTAGGCACTACACTAAAATCAATATCTAATGTCATTATAGGAAATTCTTATAACTATCAATAATCAGCTAACATTCCATTCCGTCTCTTGTACAAGAGGACGGCTGTTAGGAATTTAGCAACCTGTAGGGTAATATAAGGATCCACATCTTGAAGAACCCAGGCAAGCTGTAGGTCTACTGGTTTGTCAGCCATAGGCTGGATTATGGAGTTTAGTATACTAGCACGGGCTGAACTGTACAAAGGGCAGATAAACATAACATGATGTAGAGATTCAGATGTTTTCATTTCACAAGCACACATTGAAGGGACTTGGCCCTTAGTAAATCTATGTCTCAGCACGTTTGTTGGAAAGACATTGAACCTAGCTCTAATGAAGGCATATCGGTGAGACGCGGCCATAAGCGATGTTAAGTAGGACGGAGCGCGGTAGATAGGGGTTATGCCGAAATTTAATGGTGAGCAGGCTCCACCACCAGCTACGAAATTTTGGTATAGCTCCGCATCATCCAGCCTTTGATTTATACACCTTTTTGCCACATTTAGAACAATAGTTAAAGATTATTAATAATTAATGTAAAATCTCAAAATTGGAAGACCAGGAAATCATAAATAATGAAGAGCCTCATTGGTTTGAAGACCTACAAATAATGTATGTTTAAAAGCTGCAAGATTTCATTTAGAAAAAACAAAACAAAACGTACCACTGGCAATATTTTGTATCTTTTTTCTTTTCCAATTAATATATTTCTCTAAGGAGTAAGAAATAACTTTTAATCTTCTATTGTGACTCTACCCAGTCATACAGAAACATTGAAAATGTTAGATATTTAATTTATAGAATTACAAATATTAATAGATTCGGAACCTATGACACTTTAATTGACCTACAAAATGTCTTAGGACCTATTAGGAGTTATTTTCTTACATGATGAGTACTGCAAGGGTGCTAAATATCAGAGATCAGAAATTCCATTTCAGTTAGAATAAAGATTAGGTCTATCTCTGTTGGAAAACAAGCTACATCTTTGTAGACCCTGTATGGGGATTTACTATAAAAAGGTCCTAGATAAAATCCAGACAATGTCTGCTAAGGGAAGAGGCGCCATTAGCATGGGAGGCAGCAGGCTTTGTGACCTCCGCTCTGCCGGAAATTTTCACGGATCCCCAACTGTTCCATCCTCCCACCGACTCCTAACTTCCCCTCTCTACAACCCCCCCCATTGAATTGTCATGGATCCTCTCTTGTAGACGGTTTTATGAATATACAAAAGGAGTTTCCCCCTGAGGTGAACAAGCAACAAGCAAACCTAACCAAACCAGAACGTGGGTCATGTTCACCACCAATGATTTAATTTTACTTCTCTTCCCTCTACAGAGCAGGATGAGAGAAGCCGAGAGCAGATTGAGCAATGGCGCCAGTACCATTATGACGGTCTCTACCCACCGTACCTATATAACCGGCACATTGTCTAGGGCAGAGAGGAAGAGCGGGGAACACAAAACAATGAAAATGGGAAATCCCTGCTGAGCGTGCGATTGGCAGGACTGCCAGCAAGGCAATATAGATGAAGTCATGGAAACATGACTGATCCCCTCTCCATGGAACCTGTTTCACCAGGGCTTCAGCTAGTATCGAGTTGGCTCATAGGTGCTGCTTTGCTTTGTATCATGAAGCGCTGGTACGCCGCCACCTCCAGTCCTTGGAGCAAAGGCCGAATCGCTGCGGGCAAAAGGGGATCTTTTAGACCTGTGCATATCTGAACAAGGGAGCAAAGGGAAGTGAAACCCCTGCTTAGTCCAGCCCCCTGGCAGGAAGACTAACCACCTCCTCAGTCATCAGCCTGGCGCTAACCCCTCCTCCCCTGCTGATCTGCTTTGGGTGTGTGTCCTGCAAGTGTGTGCCTGGAATGTGGAGGGGGCACTGCTGCTTGCAGCCCCTGGGCTGGTCAAGGCTGCATGTGGTCTTGGGCCAAAAAAGGTCGACCAAACTTTATATTAGAGCAAATGCATAAGCATTATTCTAAAATAAGCACTGTATTTTGATAGGGGCATCGGGGAAAAACCCCCACTGCCAGCTTGTGCTGTATATGTTTCAAATGATTTTAGAATATGGAGCAAAGAACATTGTATTTGTTTATTAAAAATATATTAGCCTCTTGCAATCACTTTTCTTAGTTTATATATTTACTATTACATTTATTTCCTGCCTTTCCTCAAGGTGGCCTGCATGGTTCCTCCTCATCTTATTTTCACAGGCTAGGCTGAATTCCATGGTTCCCCAGGATTTTCCCAGGTCCAACACTCCAACTACACCACTAGAGTTGCTGCCAGTTAAAGATTTTACGATTAAGGGTGTGAGGAATCTTTAGTTTTGCACTTGACATACTGGTGGCAAGATTAACTTAGGATTCGCATGAAGTATTTAAAGTGACTTATCACTTCTCCTAGAGGACGTGAGTGCCGCTTGGGCTTGCCAATCAGAAGGTCGGCGGTTCAAATCCCTGCGACAGGGTGAGCCCCCGTTGTTCAGTCCCAGCTCCTGCCTACTTTGCAGTTCGAAAGCATGTCAAAGTGCAAGTAGATAAATAGGTACCGCTCCGGCGGGAAGGTAAACGGCGTTTCCGTGCACTGCTCTGGTTTCACTTAGTCATGCTGGCCACATGACCCGAAAAAACTGTCTGCGGACAAACGCCGGCTCCCTCGGCCTTTAAATCGAGATGAGTGCCACAACCTCAGGGGTCCCTTTACCTTTATTACTTCTCCTACAAACTCTAGCCTAGCCTTCTCCCTGACATCTTCATTTTCTATATGCAGCGAGGTTCTCTGGACGGAGGTGCATTCTTTAACCTGCATCATGGTTCTGCAGAAAGAAAAATGTAAAAGCAATTATCTTTCTGTTATGCAAAATAGACACAGATTTGTTTTCAGATGCATAATTTATGTCCTCCTTCTTTGCAAGTCTCTGCAGTCCCCCACCCCACCAGAGGAGCTCGAGGGCAGCTTTGAAGTTTTCGCAGGGCACGTGGGGAAGCCAGTGTTTGCTGTCCTAAGGGCTGGAAATGTCATTTATACCAAATCAAACACAAGAACTCTCAGCTTAATGACTTTCTGCAGCTAATAACAATCAACTTCTGTGGCTTTTGGGGAGCATTGCAGAGTACACCAATGCCTACCTAGGCCTGGGCACAGCCCGCTCAGGCCCCCAACAAAAGTTGCTCCCAGCTATCCCACCCCGTCCTCAGCCAGGGCTCTTTGAAAAACGGGAACCAAAAAAACAGCCGACTTTAAGATGGCTGCACCATTTCAAGCAAGCACACACAGCAGCACTTCCATTTATTTATGAAGGCAGCCTTTGATTAAGCAAACTGCTGTAGTGGAACTGCTGACGACATCCATGCGTGGGCCCCCAACCTGAGTGGTTTTGCAGTGTCTCCTGCCAAACGTCCCATCAACATGACTCACCAACAACAGCGCCAGCCAAGCACACAGAATTAGGCACTATTCACTGGGATATAGAAGTGTCCTATGAAAATGTCCCCCATTATGAACGCTTGAATGCTTCAGTAGCTGCACCACGAAGGTCCCACTTGTTAGTAATCAAAGCTGGCATGGTTTTCACACAGAGTGTTAGTTTTGCTACAGGTGCTTTTAGATGCTGTCTATGCACATACCTACATTTTCAAGAGACTTTTTATTATTATTTAACACTTAATGAGACAAAGCAAGTGTGTGAAAAGTTAAGACTGTTAGGTGTTCCAAAAGCAACAGAAAAAAATCCACAAATCCAGGGCAACCGTGGAGCACCAAATGAAAACAAAGTTGTTAATGGAAGGGTTAGGATTCATCTTTGCGTTCAGTATGGGAGCTTGGCAGTTGGTGTCTGGAAAATAACCCAGTGGATAAGCAAACATTTCTTACCTAGGAATTCCATTAGTAGCTGGCCTGCTACTTCTTCCAGCATGAAAACAACGCAGCCCCTTACAAAGCACATTTTTAACATACTGCATCAAAGTCCAGTCACGTTTATCCTAATGGTTTGAAAGAAATGCCAGGCCAGAAACTTCAAAGGCCTTTATATTACTCTCCAAAGCAGGCACATTGCTCTTCCTTCACTAGAACAATTCCCCCAGGCTTGAGGATCTCCACCTGCAATTCATCTCAGCACCTTGTTTTTCATGATCTCCACTCACAATCCTCTTAATCCCAGTGTCTTCTGCAGCAACATCCCTCAGGCAATTGCAAACACAACAAGAAAATCAGAATCAATGGCTAGTGCTGAATAGCCTGCAAAGTGCATGACTGGACAGGCTGGAGAGCGATTTTAAAACCATCCCTCTCCCAGGGCTAATTCAGGAGGTTTTAAAAATATGGGTTTGTAAAGTATAGGAAGAGGCTCTTTTTCATCTCTGTATCTTAGGTGTGTGCATGAAAGGGAATGCTTTTCTTCTTTCCTCCTCCTGAGGTTAGACACAAACCAGCAGTTGCCTTAATGCCTCCTCACTGTAAGATGATGTTCTATCTTGGAGAAAGCCTTTTTAAATGACGGTGTTGCAGATTTCAGCAGATTTGCTCAGAGATTCCACCAAAAGAGATATGACATAGTCAATAAAATGATGCTAGTGGGAAACTTCTCAGCTGAAATCATTCAGCTGTGGTATCACCTCTAAACAGTGAATGAATTATAACAGCTGATGTACATTGCCCATAAAACAACATAAAACCAGGGCCATTCCTCCTTTCGCCTCTTCACGTTTGCTGAAGACTTGCTGCATTTTTTAAAGCCTTTTAAGAAGGATGATGTTATTAAATTCTTGGGCAGTTAAATGTCAAACAATATCAGACAAAAAAACCACACCCCAGTCTTTAGCCAATTATGGTAAAGGTAAAGGGACCCCTGACCGTTAGGTCCAGTTGTGACCGACTCTAGGGTTGCAGCGCTCATCTTGCTTTATTGGCCGAGGGAGCCGGCGTACAGCTTCTGGGTCATACGGCCAGCATGACTAAGCCGCTTCTGGTGAACCAGAGCATGGAAACGCTGTTTACCTTCCTGCCGGAGTGGTACCTATTTATCTACTTGCACTTTGACGTGCTTTTGAACTGCTAGGTTGGCAGGAGCAGGGACTGAGCAACAGGAGCTCACCCCATCGTGGGGATTCGAACCACCGACCTTCTGATTGGCAAGCTCAAGAGGCTCAGTGGTTTAGACCACAGGGCCACCATAATTATGGTACTTGAGAGCAAAGCAAGTCATTTTGCCTCGTTCAAAACTTCCAAAAGAATGAGGAAGGGGAAGTAAGAAACTCAAAGCACCTCAACACAGATTTTTATGAGTGTTTATTGTAAACAATATATGTTGGGCTGTTTAGCCCCCCTTTGTACATTTTACAATGCTGCATATACACCAGGCTCCAGCATTTTCAATCACAGCACTGTGGTTAAGATATTTACAAGAGATTCCAGTAACAATAACATGCCAAGAAATTGTACGCCACTGGTTCACTGAACAAAATACACTAGTGATTGAAGGAAACACTTTTGATATTTGCAGTACATATGGGCACAACTGAAAGGGAAGCAAATTAATTAGTGATAACTGATGAATAGATAAGAACGTTTCTAAGTCCCTCTCTACATAATGTCACAAGGGAAGACAGAAGAGCCAACTTGGCATACATTCAGAAAAAAGTCCTTTGTTTTATGAGGGTTTAGCTCCATTTTTGGGCATTCCATTGTTTCTTGCTGTGTTTAATAAGAAACCTTATAGCCATTTGGAGAGACGAAATACAGGTTTTTCTGACTGCTTCCACAGATCATGTTTTTGCAGCAGACCGTTCACAGTCTGAAGCAGCTTGTACCCTCTAAATTATTGATAAAAGATTCCAGACCCAAATTTAGAAGAATTTTAAAATGTTAAGCTAGATAAAAAAGTTTTAAAAGCAAAAGCAATAAAAACAAGGTAACTTGCCTCACTAAAAATCACAAACTACTTTCCCCTTCAATAGGAAAATTATTCTAGGTGGGTATTTGGGGAAATACATTAGTGTGGAGAGCATATTACAAATATATAAACAGTCACACAGTTTGGTGTAAGTTCTAGAAATAAAAAGGACTATTTAATGCTGATATCGCTCTCTAGACATGGGCCTAGTCTGGTCAATATTTCTTGCGGCACTTCTGAGGTAGTGTCAGATAATACAGCTGAATTTGGCTACAGTTACATTAGCAGAAACTGCAGTTTCAAAGAGGCACCCTCCAATTCCTTGGAAAACATACAACACGCAGTCTAGGAAAAAAGCTCTCTCTTCTGACATCAAGCAAATCCTAAAGAATGACGGGTTCACCCATTCAACATTACAGACTGAGCAAAGGCAGCCCAAAGCAAAGGATCATTCAGACTTCATGAAGGAAAGATGGCTGGGGGTCTCTAGGGCTGAATCCTGGCCACATCCACCTCACTGAACTGGATGGGGCTTACCGTCAGGTGAGTGGGGTTACTAC